TTTTTTTTACATAGATAAGGGTGGCAAAGCGGACACGCACACACGCCGCACGTTTCATCCTCCCGCCGCGTTGAGGTGGTAGGCCGCGGGGAGAAGGTTAACTATATGAGTAGGAGCGGAACGAAAGAATTTGGTAATGGGTGAGAGAGATTAATAGTAGCTCTTCCTTTACTTGAGTCAAAGCTGAAGCTGGATCAAAGTTTATAGGTGGTGATCCCGTTTGTAATGATTCTGTAGTGTGCTAGTATTTGAAATCCACAACAACCCAAAGGCATATCAAGTACTTCTCGATTGTAGCGTGGCCTTCTCTGGTTAACCGATAATTTGATATATTTCTGTTTTCCTGAACGGTTCTGAGAGTAGCCCAACTTCAAGCTCTGGGCAATGGCCACTATGAACTAGAGGGTTTGTAGAAGGAGCGCTCACCTTTTGTTCCGACAACTATGTTTGAAACCATACTATCTTCACCCTACCTCGGTAATAAGCTACCGGTTGACCGTTTCCGGATCACGGGCAAAATATGCCAGGCCAAAAACAAGATAAGTCTTCTATTTCGAGGGTTTGAGTTTATGGCCACTACTGAATCTTTGGGAAAATAGTGGAGCTCATATTCGTCAATCAGGCCGATGAAGCTTTCCCTCGCATCAAGTGCACCAGAGTAGACTACTTGGTAATGTTCCTATACATAGAACGCCAGTCGCCTGATTAAATACAATTGATATAGATATGTAATGCGTTTTCTTTGCACAGTAGACGTGCCCTTAAAAACAAGCACTTTCTGGTTGGTATAAAAGCCCGACTTCGCTGCATGTTACATCAGATTCTGTTCTTTTTGCAAAACAGTAGCTTCTGAAACCCTCCCTAATAGGTTCAGCTCAGATCTGTCAGCAAACACCTCCACGGACTTCTACTATTACTATTACGTTGAGATAACCTCTTTCAGATGAAGCTACACATCCTCTTACTGGTTGCTACTTCGGTGGTGGCGCTTCCCAGACAGGTAAGTTTGAAGTGCTTAAGAGTCCCACTCAGGAAAGGAGTCATTTCAGTGTTCGGCCTACTGGGAGTAAACTCCAGAGCGATGTGAAATAAGGAGTACCAAAATAGCTTGCCCTGGGGCCGTAAGGTATATTCTCCTGTTCGGAGCTGCGATGCCCCGATTCGGGTCTCTCTCACTCTACTCTTCCCGAGAGCATCTATCTCTCTGCTCTCCCCGAAAGCATACCTTACCGGGAAGGGGCACTCCCCAGTTCGGGGGAGCATACCTTACGGCCCCTGATGCGCTCCACGACATTCATTCCTTATAAAACACTCGGAACTGGTGATAAACAGCACAATCTTTCCGCTCCCATTAAGCTAGGCAAGGTTGTTGATCGANCGCATATGAGTGGAGCAAAAATGGGTTGAGACCCTGATTTTCGAGGACTATCGAGACGTGGGGAAGCTGGTTGTTGTAATAATTGAGAATGCTATTTACCATGACAGGCATTCATTAGCATACCTAAATAGTCCCTCAAAATAACGAAAACACGAATATAGTTAAACATAGGTTTCTTGCAGGGAATTTATTTTTATTTATTTATTTTTCATTTCGATATTTCAGAAACGTGAAGATGCCGCTTCAACAGCTGCCACGGAATCTACCACGTCGGCTACTAAAACAACCTTAGCTCCTACCCAAGCGAGCACTCCAACAACTACATCTTCAACAACATCGACAACTACACCTGCAACAACTGCAACAACCACACCCACAACAACTTCTGCAACCGCTCCACAAATAACAACGCCGCCCAACTGGCCTCAGCCATTTCCGTTTCCTCCTCCATTCCCCTTCCCGCCACCACCAATGCCTAGACCTGGTTGTCCGGTTTGCTTCCCACCTATGGGACCATGGGGCGGACCTGGGGGATCATGGGTTAGACCGAGAGGACCGTGGGGTGGATCAAGAGGACCATGGGGTGGACGAAGAGGACCGTGGGGTGGACCAAGAGGACCATGGGGTGGGCCTATGGGACAGTGGGGAAGACGAAGGTGGTAGCTTCTGGGTGGAAGGAAAACTTAATTCATTCAGAAATATCCCCACAACTTTTCTTACGTTTCCTTCCGCTGTGTACTGAAATAAATTATGAATATACTTATTTGGAATTTGGCAAGATCACGAAGAAAAGAAGTTATTGAAGACAGCAGTTGCACTTTGAAAGCAACACAGACAAACCTGAATGAGATGTGAACTGTCTGTTTCCTTTAGTTTAGGTTTTTAATCCCTCTAAAAGGGAAATGCTCAGTATCCAACCCCTCTAGCTCGCCCAACTTCCACACTCCTTTTCATTCTTATGTATCTTCATGTTTGTAAGAAACAAGTGATCTGGAAAAAAGGCATCGCAAAAGATACATTCGCTCGTTCGCGTCCCATCCATAAACCATACAATTGTGTGTTACCACCCTCTGAAGAGAGCATCCTAATGTCCAAGAAGAGGTAAAAGTAGAAAATATTCCAGACAGTCTAGGAGCTTACCTTGGGGTCTCAATGAGCATGGTTCATCGAAATGCACGGCACATGGGATATGTTCATGCTCAGAGACCACAACCGAACTGCCATGAGAAGGGGTGATGGGTTCTTGAGATTGACTGAGTGATCCTGAATAGAAGGAAGCGATAAAAGAAATTAAAAATCGTGATTATAAAAGATACTGTTTGCCTATACATAATATCGCAGCACTTTGACTGTTTTAATGCTTCTTGAGAGTCAAATAAGGCAACATACTGCCCAGTTTTCGGGTCCGGAATCTTCTCCCCGAAGACGGCGTCGCGCACGCCGCACCCGCCGCGTATCGCAGGATTGCGATGGAAGATTGGAGCGCGTAATTTGTGGGGATAGGGAGTCCTTTAATTATTTGAATTGGCTGGCCGCTCCCTTCGATTCCCATGCGGTATTGATCGTCGCTAATATAGGAAGAGTCATTCTATTTAAACAAGTCTAATAAACATAAAAATGAAAAAGGAACAAAAGAAACAGTCAAATCAATAATAACGAAAGGCAACCAACAAAAAATATTGCGTCATATCGATTGGCGGGGAGGCGGGGTGAGTACGGTAATTGCAGTGACATTTGCCGCAGCAAGTGAGAATGCCGCGATCGGGGAGGAGTTCCGTTACCCCCAGTTTTCACTCAGAATGAACAAATCCACAGAACGGAGGCAATAGATGCTTACTCCATTTGGCAAATATCATCTAGTCAAGTATTTTGTGAACTATGACTTGTACGTGGCCACAGTTCACGCCGAAGTAAGTGGAAGATAGGACGTTCATAGGTTTTTAGGCATAAGGAAAAAGGAAGAACGTTGTTCCCTGGTAGAAACGCTTTGAAGGCACAGTTCATGATCAAAATGACTTGATTAGTGGTTGCTAGAATTGAGGGTGCCTGACAAATCGCTTGCTTTTCAAAATAAATGATCAACAGGGTGACGAGAGACGCAGCAATCACCCATACCTACTGACATTGAAAAACTGAACCAAGTCGGTGTCAAGTGTTTTCAGTAAAAGCACGAGTTTTCGGCGCCGAACAGTTTTCTCTCGGGACTTACTCGAGTTCTCGATTTCCACCTTCTCT